TAGTGAAACCCCGTCTCTACTAAAAAATACAAAAAACTAGCCGGGCGAGGTGGCGGGCCCCTGTAGTCCCAGCTACTTGGGAGGCTGAGGCAGGAGAATGGCGTGAACCCGGGAGGCAGAGCTTGCAGTGAGCTGAGATCCGGCCACTGTACTCCAGCCTGGGCAAGAGAGCCAGACTCCGCCTCAAAAAAAATAATAAAAAAAATGGATATAGTCCCTACTCGGTAGGCTTGTTGGGAGGATTCAAGGAAATCATCTCTGTAAAATGCCCAGTACAAGGTCAGGCACACAGCAAATATTCCATACGTGTTAGTCTCTGTGTCCTTGCCTCCCAAGCAAGAATCATCTCCTTCACTCTGGTACTGCTTAGTGATTAAGTGCACAGACTCTGGAGCCAGACCGCCTGATTCCAAGCCCTTCTGCTACCTACTAGCTGTGTGACCTTGGGCAAATCACTTGCCCTCTCTTTGCCTGTTTTCCTGTTTGTAAAATGGAGACTATAAGACCAGTATGTACCCATCCCCCACAAGATCGTTATGAGAATTAAATTAATATATGCCAGGGGCTTAGAGCAGCGTCTGCGTGGGCAGCCACGCTCTGGGCGCCAGCCGTTACTACTCCCTGCATCCCTGCAGTGTCTGGCAACATGTCTGGTACCTGCTCGAAGCTCAATATTCATTTTTGAATGAATTAATGAGGAGATAAGACAACCCCACGATGCAAAGGCAGGCCATGTTGGACGCCAGTGAGCCCCCATATGTGAGAAGCTAAATCACCGCAGTAGATTAAGAGCCTCCCCCAAATAAAACCCAGATAATCCCCACACCAAGAGTTAATCCACACTCTGGGGCCACTCCAGGTTACCACCCTGTTTCCCCTCTTCTCATCCCACACTCTCACCCACCTCTTTGCTTAATCAAAAGCAGGGAGGAGGAGCAGGTGCGGCCATGGCAGAGGGGTGCACCCTGGGCATCGTGGCGAGACCAGCATCAGGGGCAGGAGAGGGCAGAGCTGGGTACCCCAGTTGCCTCAGGAATCGGAGGAGTTGGAGTGGAGCCAGCCAGGCAAAGAGCCTCGGTCTCAGGAGAGCAGAGGAGACTCCTTGGATGGGGCAGGCTAAGGACCAGTGACCACAAGCAGCAGGCAGGGCCATTGGAGGCCTTCTGAATTCCGCCAGGCCCCGCAGGGTGAGGCTCTGGCCAGTCTCCCAACCCCACCCTCCTTGACCTGGAAGCCGGGGGCAGCCCAGATCCTGGCCACTGCTGCCCTCTGGTGGCCACTCCTCAGAGGTGCAATGGTGCCCCTGCTGTTTCCTGAGTATTTACAGAACTAAATGTCCCCAGAGCTGCCCCAGGGGGCTCCTTCTTCAAGGCTCCTAGAGGAGATACTCCTCCCCAGGCCTCTTCTGCCTAGCTTCGACCTTCCTATGGGAATAACGTGCTGCCCCAAGCCCCTCTTGCCTGTGCTCCCACTGGTTTCTCTACAGCTGCACCTTCCTGCCAAGGCCTAACTTCTGCCTAACTGAAGTTTTGGGTTCTGACCCCTCCTCTGGACTGGTCCCCACTTTCCCATCAATGCCCTCAAAAGCTCCCCAAGAGCTCCTTTGTGCTGCATCGCAACTCTCTGTCAATGGTTCTGTCTCCTCCAGAGGACTGGGCTCCTTCAGCCTTAGACCTAGGCTGGGACTGGGCTGTTGTTCAATTTCAAGGGAGTGATGCGAGCAATGGGAGTAAGAATCAGGAGAAACAGAACCCCTTTATGTATTTATTTATCAAAACATTGGCAAACCTGACCTCACTCACCAACACACACACACAACCAGGACACACGCGCCAGGCCTTATGAAAGGCTATCAAGTACTTTGAAGGACAGGAAGGAATGAACACACCCAGGTGGACGTTTAGTTTCATTTGCAGGGGTTCAGGGACGGCTCTTGTCCCACAACTGGGGAAGGGAGAGGACAGAGCAAGGCAATAAATAGAACCCTGGGCCCAGCCTGCTTTGGTACATTGTGGGTGCATGTGGCCTTGGCAGCATCTGCTCCTGGCCCTTAACCACCAGCAGGAGTTAGGAGGGCGGGGCCCAGGCAGTTGGTGCAGGCAGGCCAGATGTGCTGCCAAAGGTCGCTCCAAATAGCCCTGGAGCCCTGCAGGGCACGAGGTAAGAAGGGGCCAGATGCCGCAGACCCTAGCTGTCCATGTCTGAAGGCACAGTCTTTTTCCTCGTCCGAACCTTCAGGGAGCGTGAGGTGCCCTGGGGAGAGAGGAGGCACAACATGACGGTGTGGGGAGCACCAGCCAGCAGAGCCCTCCTCCCTCCTGTCGTCCTCCCACACTGACCTCCCGCACTGGCGGCTTCCTCTTGACCACACGCAGGCTCTGGCTACGGATTAGTGGCTTCTCTCGGGGCCGGGCTGGCGCCCGGGGGACTGCCTCAGTATCCGACCAACACTCATCCTCGGTGTCGCTGTCCTGCAGGCCCCCAGCCCGGTACCCTGTGTGGAGGAGGTGAAGCTGAAAGCCTGCGGCCAGGCCAGCTCTTCCTCGAGCCTTGGGGGAAGCCATGGTGCGAGTGAAGGAAGCCATCCCTCCTGGCATGGCTCTGGGTCCCTCTGCCCACTCACCAACGGGTGGCCTCCGGTGGGACACCTGGTCCTCCAGGTAGAGGGGGTCCTGGTAGGCAGGGGCAGGCACGTCAGGGATGGAGCGCAGGTCCTGCATGGAGAAGCTCCGCAGCCTGCCGGCCAGCGCCCCCTGACTCTGTAAGGGGGAAGAGGCTTCAGCGGGGAGACTGCCCAGGGAAATCGGCCAACCAGCTAATCACTGGGGCTGAGACGCAGAAGTGAAAACTGCTTAGCAAGCTTCTGGCCCCGCGCCAATGTGGCACCAACAGGAAACCAAAGTCAGAGAGCAGGAGCCGCTGCTCACGCTCAGTGCCAGAGCCAGGAAGGAAGGTCTGACTCCAGTTCCACGCTTCTGCCAATATCCCCTGTCACTTTCTCACCCCTGCTTCCCAGCTGCCATCTCTGGGCTCCCTGGCAGAGGAGCTGAATGAGCCCAAAGGGCCTTAGCGGTGGGATGGGGGCTGCTGGAGGGCTGGGGGCCTGGCGCACCTTGGTGGCAGCCTGCACAGCAGCCGAGGCGGCAATGTTGAGGCCCCGCTTCCCGAAGGTGAGCACGGTCTCGTAGCTGCGTTCCTTGGCCTGCACGATGTACGCGTCGATCTCCTGGGGACCCGATGGGGAGGAGAGCTCAAGTGGACAGCCAGAGTCCCTCTTCCTCTGCAGATTCTGAGAAGCCACTGATTGTGGCACCACCCAGCCCAGCCCAGCCCAGCCCAGCCCCAGCTGGTGCCCAGAGCCACAAATCTGGGCCACAAACACACACCAAGAGCAGGGCCACCACCCATTCACACCTCAGTGACAGGCCATGCTCCAGCTGCTGCCACCACTACCCCCAAACCAACTTCCATCCTCAAAGGTCATTCATGTGCACCCCACCCGATTATCCCAGAAGATGAGGTAGGCTGGGCCCTGTCAAGGTCCTGCACCTCAACAGCAGCAGGACTGGGATAGAACCCTGGTATCCCCAGCATCCTAAATCCCAGGTCCAGAGCTCTTTCCCTCACACCCACCCCTAAGCCTCCCTTCCCGCCTCCCCCTGGGGTACCTTCTCATGGCGGGACAGGGACGGGTGGACAAACTTGCGGTAAAGCAGGCTGGCGCCTTTGGTGTAGGGTGAGAGCAGCCACAGCACAAAGGCCATCTTGATCTCATAGTAGAAAGGGAACCTGTCACAGCGCAGGGGGCAGGGTGAGCCAAGGAGCAGGGCTGGGAGGGGCCACCCCGACCCATGGTTTGCGGACCCTGTGTCCATACCAGGAGATAAAAATGTCTGTAACGATCTCTGCGGCCATGAAGAGTGCAAAAACAATCCAGTACATCATCCACCGCACCTGTGGGGTGAGAGCGCAGAGGTCAGCCTGGGGCTGGCAGCACCAACTCCCAACCCGGGCCAGTCTAGCCCAGAGATTCCAGGGAGCCTGTCCGGCTGCATAGCTGCTTTCCCCCACGCATGGCTGGACAGGAGCTCTGAGAAACTGCTGCTCATTCCTATGCCCGCCTCCAACAAGCTTCACCCACGAGGTCTTCCACAGGCACCCCAATGGCCTGCCCTCTATCTATACCCTCTTGAACAGGGCCCATTCTCTCTCCCTCCCCACTCCACTCAGGAAGTGCCACATGACCTTGCCCCTGGAGGAGGGAGAAGCCAGCTCAGACCCTCCCCACCTCACGGAGTCCTACTACACACACCCAAACCCCCACGCTCACATATTCACGAATGTTCTTGGTCTTCACAGCCTTATAGGAAGCATAAGCTGGACACAGCATCCCAAACACCAGCCTGGAAGAGCAGCCATGGGGAGTGTGAGGGGCACTATGCCCCACTCCCACCTTGCCAGGTGGCCATTTCTCCCCACTGGGGTGCAAGGTGGCAGTACCCGCCCTGTTTTTCTCGCTTGGCTTGTACAACCTGTGCCTGAGTCAGAGCCCTGGAGGCCACCTCCCCACCCTGCTGTTTACAAACATCCAAGCCTGCCCAGGCCTGCACCGGTGGCCCATGGGTGCGTGATGGAGCGAGAGGATAGCCACTCCACGAAGTGGGTGAGAACACCAGACTGTGCCCTCCCATGGGCATGCAATCAGGCTCATGGTCACCAGACCTGGTACTGCCGGGCTGCAGAAGGTGCTATGGGAGCCAGGTGTTGGCGTACTCAAAGGTGAGGAGCAGGATGGTAAGTCATGTGACTGCTCAGATGGCAAGCAGGCACCTGGATTCTCCGCCCACAACGTGCCATATCACCTTGTGTTTGCCAAGGGGCAGTAAAGTAGGCCTGTGGCCCTCGGCCCCAGGCATCTGTTTGCAGTGTGTGTGGCGTGTGGCAGGGGTCGTCCTCAGCCGACGAGGCTTGGTGGGGCGGGGAGTGGGCGGTACCCCAGACACCGCGTGCAAGCCCACAGGTCCGTTAACCCTGGTAGGGAGTGCTGGAGGGCGGAGCTCAGAAAGTTCCTCCTCCCATAGACGTCCACAGCTTCCACCACAGGGGCGGGACGGCACCCCGGGGTAGTGGAGGTCTGAGGGCGGCCATACTCACACCACCAGGCGACAGATCATCCAGGACACCATCTTGCCGGCCTTGGGGACGTGGGGAGAACCCCAGGAAGCCGCTCAGAAGGACGTTCACTCAAGGGCTGGAACGGGGGGGATCAGGGCAGTTGCGGGAAGCAGAGGGGCGATCCGGCTGTTCCTTGGCGGAGGCAGAGCCCGCCGCCCACGGCCTCCGACTGTGCAGTTCAGGGGACCTGGAGAACGGGGAGACCCGAGGCAAAGCGGCCCCGGCGGGGAGGAAGCCGACTTGGGAGCGGGCGCGCCCCGCGGCCGGGACAGTTACAGCTCCCACCCGCCCTTCCTGCCGCGGAGAACCCGGCGCTCGGCCCTTGCTGCTGGTCCCGCGCTGGAGCAGGTCGCCGCGGTGCCAGCGCGCCGGGCCACCAGCACCGGCCTGCAGGGCGGAGTTTGCAACTCACTTGAAAGTTGCACGGAACCGAGTGCTGCCCAACCCCAGGGCTCCGGCTCGCCACGCAGGCGCAGTGTGGCTGCGGAGGGGGCGGGGCGAGGTCAGGGAGGCGAGAGGCCGGCCCCTTAAAGGGGCGATGTGCCGCGGGACTCGCGCGTGGGGCCCACAGTGGAGTCACCTTCCCAATCGGAAAGATTAGAGCGTGGGAAGCTGTAACGAAAAAGCAGGGGGAGTGTGGGGGTCGGCACACAAAGAAAATCTGGACTCCAGAGTTTTCCCGACCCTTAACTGGCTTTTCCCGGTGTCTTTCCCTCTCGCCTCATTTTCCCCTCTGTGAAATGGCTAAAGGCATGAGATGTGGTTGGTGGGGTAGAGGGGAGGATCTCTGCAGGCTCAGGCAGGAAGCTTGGCTGAGCGCCCCCAAGTCCGGGTCTCACACCAGTGGGTCCAGGAGGGAAAGGGGGGAGGCGTGGGGGGAGAGGGAACCTGAGGGACTCTTCGCCCCCGCAGGTTTCAGGGGTTCCCTTCTCTCTGGGATGCCTTTCCAGAGCCCTGACTCCGGGGCAGGCTGACCGCGATGATTTGAGGCATTCTGGATAGAGCTCCCAGCTCCCACACTCCTTCTTCAGCAGAAGTTTGAAATTCCACCTATTCCTCTGAGCCAAATACACAAATATCACTGGGCCCTTAATAGTAGTATCAACCATTGCCATTTTGTAATGCACGTTCGCACGCAAGGTCTTAGTCTTTGCAAACATCCTTTTTACCATGTAGGAAATAGGATGCTCAGTGGTGAAAAGCAACTTTCCCGGTATCACCCAGTGGTATTTATTTCCGGCTGGTGGCTACATGCTTGGCTTGATCAGTCTTCTGAAAGATCAGCAGCTGCAGGCTGAGTGGTCCTGCAGAGGGTCGTGGAACCCGAGAAGTTTCTCTGGGCCGGAGGCAGACACCAGGAAGAAGGGGGAAGGCTCTAAAACAGAAGGCAAACGTTGCTGCTTCTACTACTTGCCCTGTGAGGTTTCATTCTTTTTGACATCTTCAGCTTACTGCCTCTGTTGTTCCCTC